AAAAAAAATTTAGACATTTTTATTGAGTCCCACTAGGAAGGATGAGGATTTAGCCCTCTTTCTGTCCCCTGCTGCTACTACACATGTACTCTTTCCATTGCTCACCCTCTCTTTATAGTTATATTGTTACATTGTTATGACTATGTAAACACTAATCACAGGTGAGTCAGGAGTAAACTATGATTACGCTCCTTCTATGTATGTTTTTTTTTATTTTATCTGTAGTTATATTGATTTTTCATTTGCTAGGTTTTCTCTGTAATTAAGAGTAATTCATCTCCATCAGGGAATCTTTAAGTTTTGGTCAGAGATTTAGTGCAAGTCTTTGTTAATAACAATTAATGAATACAAAAGAATGAAGAGTATGCCTAACATTCTAGTATAAAAAATTTTTGTTCAAATTTTTATATTTTGAGTATTTACACACATATAACACATGTGCATATATATGTACACTTAAACCTACACATTTAAATATGTACACATACATAAATATATATACACACACACACACACACACACACACACACACACCCCATACACATACTCACACACATATACAGGTAATGATCACCATTATCTTGCAATAAGAGAAATGTACTTATATGTCTTTTAACTTCAATTATTACATAATTTTATTTGTAATATCCCCCTATTTTCTATGTTTTTGTTTGACTCTTTACTAACTTTGGTCTTTATATTAGTTTCCTGTGGCTGCTGTACCAAATTGCCTGAAACTTAATGGTTTAAAATGACAGAAATTTATTCTCTCACAGTTCTGGAGGCCAGAAGTCAAAAATCAATTTCACTGAACCAAAATCGAGGTGTCAGTAGAGCCATGCTCTGTCTGCAGCTTCTAGGGGAATATTTGTTCCTTGACTTTCTGGCTCTTGGTATCTGCTGGCATTCCTTTGCTTGTGACTGCACCACCTCAATCTCTGCCTGTCATCTTCACATTACCTTTTCTTCTGTAGGTTGAATCTCCCTCTCCTTCTCTATTGTAAGGGCATTTGTGATGGCAGTTAGGGCTCATATGGATAATCCAGGATTATCTTCCCATCCCAAGACTGTTAACTTAATCACATCTGGGAAGGCACTTCTTCCTTATAAAATAACAATTATAGGTTCCCGGGATCATGACCTGGTATCTTTGGGTGGCCATTATTCTGTCTACTACAGCCCTCATGACAGGTCATTGAAAGGGTCTTTCCAAAGTTGAGATTTGGTGAAGGGTTATGTGTAACGACAGAGAAACAGAATAAACATGATGCATATTCCAACTGCTGGACCAGTTGAAATATCCTGTTTGTGGTACTATAATCAATTTGCCTCTAATAGAGGTTTGGATTTGCTGGGGAAATGAAGATTCTGAATCCCTATTTTAAATTTGTTACAATGGAGATTTTGAGTCCTTGGGCACATAGTATGGGGCAGTAATACCTGCCATACTTAGCAATGAATAAAAGCAGGTGTATTCATGGCTCTGTTTTTTTTTTTTTAATAACTTTGACTAATTTTCTCTCTTTTTACATCATGAATAACTCTATCTTGATGCTTTTAGTCACTCTGCAGCTAACCAAATCTAGAAGTCCTCCTCTTGGCAGAACAAAGAGTAATATATTTCAATCTGATTTCTCTGGCTAGAGGTATAGACCTCTAGAGGCAAGGACAGAGCAGAGCTGATACACTGTTTTTAAAACACACACACACATGCACGCGCACACACACACACACACACACACACACACACACACAAACTGGGCTGGTAGTGAGAGAGAGTGTTTTTATCCTTAGCTTTTTATTAGTAAAAATCATAAAGTATTTGTTACTTACATCTATAAGTCATAGTCATCATTTCCCTTCAAGAGATAATTGATATCATTAAACTTCCAATGAATGGGTTAGAAGTGGTCCTGGCTTTCCCATAATTTCACTGAGTAGTATGGGGATGTGTTTTTCCTCCACATGATGCAGTACATATCCTAAAAAATACATAGTTTATTTCTTCTTTCCCCTAATGGGACATTCTTTGCAGATTTGTGAAATATAATATAGGCTATGCTTCTCTGAAAAAGAAATCAACATAGGTGCATACTGAAATTATTATTAATAGAGATAAAGAATGGACACAAAGTCAACATATTTAATATTAGTAGTCATTTATCAAATATTACTTTGAGTAGTTGAAACAAATTGGTTCTCT